ATGGAAAGAGTACTAAATTTATAGTCAGAAAAATGACTGTAATCTCAGTTTCAACAATAAACATTTGATTTTCAACATTGTAATTAAACTCTTAAGAGCCTGTATTTCCTCATTGTATAATGGAGATTTTTTTCTATTACACACAGTTATTATAAGGATTAAATCAATTAAACAAAATAGTACATGTGGAATTACCCCTTATGGTGTCCAGTAGAGAAAAGCAGAATATACCACTCCAAAACATGCCTCTTTGGCTTAAGGATTATATTGAGCTGGTTATTTTAAAAAAACAAGAGACACAGGAGAAGCTCTGAGAGCAATGTAGAAGTTGTCCCTTCTGTAAGAGACATTTACACTTACAAGGGAAACTTCCAATTTTGCATGTATCTCCCTCACTGTGGGAGGAAAAGAAGTATGACTACCTAGAATCACTTATCAATGGAGAAAGCATCAACTTAAATCTGCATAACAACTCTACCCTTGTTACTGTACTTTGCTTGATAACCTCCCATAACTGGTTCCTCCTCACCCCTACCCCCACCATCTCCTTTTGTCTTTTGCTGGAGATGACATTTAAGGTGATAGGTGATTGGTTGGTTGATTTTGAGGAGTTACTCAGACATCCTGGATACAGTAGGTATACATGCTATTAAACCTCTGTTTGTTTTTCTCCTATTAATCTATATTTTATAATGGAGAAGATGTGTGGCAGGGGCCAGCCAAAAACCTAGAAGGGGAGGAAATTATTTTCCTCTCCTATACCAGCACATATAGACACTTGGATGGTATTAATTTTTCTTTCCTTTCTATGGGATCTTTGAGCTAAGGTGATTAAATGTGTGGTTTCTAAAATATCTCTTGATTTTTTTAAATATTCATTTCCTTCTATGGCAAATATATCAGCATATCTTTAGATTAAGTTGAGAGTTAATTTTTAAAAATAGCAGAGTGAACTCCTATCTATACAAATTAAATTACTTTCAAGATATGGGAGGTTGGTTCTGATTGTAGTTAGAAATGTGAACAATGCTTATGTAGTTTTCATTAGGCAACATCTGGAATTGATCTCCAGAACTTTGATTAACAGAACCAGCCTAATGAATCCCAGATGTTGAAACATGGCTGTGTTTCTTAGACTCAGTGGATTATGAGTGTGAATACATGGAAGGAAGGAAAACATTTGCAAGAACTAGGTGTCAAAGTGGCCGAGGGGGTATCTGGGTGTTAGCTTAGTTGCAGGGGTAGGAGGAGGTCTTTCTAAATGAGTAACCCCTTTAAAGTTGTATGCACATTGTTAAGAAAAAGGCCCAATCTTTTATAACCTCAATAGTATGTCTTAATAACTTTATTCGTGTGTTCTCCTGCAGAGATTTTGAGTATCTACTATATCTATAGTCCTGTGGTTATATTGCAGGTGTGCCCAGGTAACCAGTTCTTAGTAATTGTGAACAATGAATTGAACTGAACACACAGAGTTTATAGCAGAGAGAGAGAGAGCAGATTTTTAAGCTACAGTGCACCACGGAAGTGGGACAACTTCAAGCAGAGACTGACCCTCAGTGGCTGGAGGGATTCTATTCTTGTAGGGTAGATCTGTCCTGGCTAGTTTTGGTGGGCTTTTGTTGTGCATGTATAAGTAGTTATTTACTTTTAAGCTATAGCACATGTGGTCTCCCATGATTTTCTTTGAGTGCCTACTGAGGGAGGGGGTCCCACAGTGCTAATTTATTAGAACTCTATTATAATGAAGCATCTTCATGGTCATGGTAGCATCTTCTGCACAGGTGCAGTCAGGATTCACCATGAGCCCACGCTTTTGCAGAAAGTGGGGACAATGGGTCTAAGAATAGGGCCTCTGTCCTGTATGGATGTTCTTTTTCTGAGCCTTGGGGCACCTCCAGAGTTTCCTCACTCCTGACTGTCTCCTGCCTCAGTTGGAAAGACAAACATTTCCTGCCTTTGAGTCTCTCAGTTCAATGAAGGAGGGAGGCTTGTGAACAGTAATTACAATGAACGGCAATTGCTGTATTGAAGGGCTGAGTACAGAAAGTAACCGAGACTGCCAGGGAAGATAGGAAAATTAAACAGAGAAGACGACACTGGTGTGGATGTAAGAAACGTCCAAACCTATAGAGAATTTTTATGAGTTTGTTCCAGACAAGCTGATGACAACTGCCAGGAAGCAAAATCTCAACAAGTTGAGAAAATGCTCTGGAGAATGGTAGTTTTACAGCCTAATTATACATTAGACTCAAAGCAGGAGACCTAAGGGAGGTTACATGAAATTCACTGGTGGTAGATTAGGGAAGCGGGAGAAAGCAAAGGGGGAAGAATCTCTGAGGTTGAATAAAGAGAACAATGGAGAAACAGAGACTTCTTTCACATTGGCGGGTATGGGAAAGTTAAAAATGAACATTTACATCACATAGAAGGGGTATTTGGGGAACAAGGTGCAAGGAGAGGTTCTGAAGGGATTACTACTCCAACATTCCAAGGGTAGGTCATAATAGATAGGCTTAATTAAGGTAAAGATTGACTTCTGTCAAGGAAGCTACAGGCCTTGATGTGACTACCTGCCATGACTCTGTTTGGTTAGGAAATTTTACATTCAGACCATCCAGCGTGGTCACTTTCAGTCTCCGAGTTAGCAAGGTCCGCCATGCTGGCCTCCCCTAAGCTTGTCAGTTTAGTATGTGGCCCCTTTTCCATCCACCCTGGGCTCGGGATTTTTATATATTATTGCTGCAATCTGCATTCCACTGTACTAATATAATATGTGGGAACACAATTTCCTCTGCCTTCTTTTGGCTGGTCTAATAATCAGATAGACATGGAGCAGATTAGCAAGTGAAAATATCCAGATTTAATACATCCAAATGTATGGGAACGCTGCATGCATGAGTGAGAAGCCCCACATTCAGGAGAGCTTCAGAGACAGGGAAACGTGGGTCTGTGAGGCATCCTGGGCAAGAGATGAGCCACCTCGGTGGCTCCAAAGGGTCTGTGCAGAATAAGAAGTGCAGATATTTAGTAAACAGACGTTTGTCCATCCTGCCCTGTAGATAGGTCTGAAAAGGTTATCCGGTACTCTCCCATTACGGGCAAGGCCCCTCGTTCAAGTTCTTCTGGGTAGACAAGGGAGGGAAGATATCTCCTCTGGGCCTGCAGCTCAAGTCAAAACAGTCCATGTCCCACAGAAGCACAACTTGGGGTGACGATCTCTGGATCCCCCCCATACAACCTTCATGTCCTTGTATGTTCTACAGATCACGGGACCTTTTGTCTTGTCCTAAAAATTATAACTAAAACAGCCATTTCTGAAATTATAAAACTAAAGTATTTTGATAATCCAATCTAGTGCCACAATGGTAAAACCACGATTAAGAATTCCATGGACTTCAGCTTCTAGAAACACGAGCAGTTTAGTCTTTCCCACAAATTGTTCTTTTAAGTGAAGGACTGCCTTTGCCTTTTGCAACCTTCTTGTCCTCATGCATGTCCAATATTGTGGGCAGGAAAGGAAAATCAGAAATGTTCGGAGCTAAAATTATTTTTGAACACTTTAGGGGAAAAGCTGTGACTGTTTTGTGACATACTTTGGTTCTTATAAAGTCTGCTCCATTTTTCCCCAAAGGAATTTTCAACTTGGAGTGAAAGGAGATACCTTCCCTGAAGGAGAGGAACGCAATTGGCCTAATGACAGCAGTTTGGGAAAGAATTAAATGTGTTGTTAATGGACGTTAATAGATGCTTTCAGAGGTAGAAGGGGGAGATTAAGTATTGAATATTAACCCGATGACAAGGAGAAGAAGGCTAACTAATTCCTAGAGAAAAGTTTCCAAGTACATTTGGCCCATGAGGTTCAACTCCTTTCTTCACCCAGCCACGACTAACAATTTGTAGCTTTTGTTTTGTATTTAATGTCTCCATACCACCTTCACTAACGCTCAGACAAAAACTGCCCATTTACTCCTGTAACTTATTTCTCTGAAGTAACAGATATATCCATTCCCATCTCTGAAGAACCCCCACCGACAGACATGGGCTAGCCAGTCCCTTGAGCCTTCTACCCTTCACCCCGGAAAATGCCTATTTATCTTTTAGAGCCTAGTCTAAATGTTATGTCTTCAGGAAGGACTCCCCCGGTCCTTCCAGGCTTGGTGAAACCCTCTCGCTACATAACCCGCGTTACCCTGTCCAGTGGTCCTCGTCACTTCTGTGATGGCGAGCTCCATGTGTATCCTTCTCACCTGATTGTATGTTTCAGGAGAGCAGGAACGTTTTTCATCTTTATTCGATGTCCTATTTCTCATTCACTGTATTCACACAGTAGATAGTTGTTCAAAAGAATATATTCAAAGTCTTGGCCCTGGCTGGCGTAGCTCAGTGGATTGAGTGCGGGCCTGCGAACCAGAGTATCGTGGTTTGATTCCCAGTCAGGGCACATGCCTGGGTTGCAGACCAGTTCCCAGCGGGGGACGCGTGAAAGGCAACCATATATTGATATTTCTCTCCTACTCTTTCTCCTTCCCTTCCCCCCTCTCAAAAAATAAATAAATAAAATATTTTTAAAAATTAAAAAAAAAGAAAAGAATATATTCAAAGTCTTTATCACTGTAATACTTTATGCCCTTATAATATCTTGCCTGATCTGTCTAGGAGGTATGTCTTCAACACACTGTTCCCTTTGTCTGGACCAATTTTCTCATAAGTGACTAAGAGGAGAAAAATAAACAGAAATGTAACATGTGTACCTTCTGTGTACATGGAAGATACCCAGGGAAACTGAGTAAAACTACCCCAAATGGCCTAACCAATGACGCTGAATACCATCTCCAGCTAGAGTCAAAAGAAGACATTGGGGAGGGAAGCCATTTGTCAGAGGTTCTCAGGCAAAGCATGATAATAAGGGAAACATTTGTTCCACAGACTTAATGGTCGCCTTTTCCACGAAGGAGGCAGAGCCAGAACTTAACCCCAGATCCAGAGATGACAGGAAAATGTCTATCTGGAACGCAAGGACAGTCACTCGCAGGGCCAAGGTGGCTCCCGCCGAGAGAACAAGCAAGTTCCTGAAGCACTTCACTGGCATCGTGGATGACTGTGGTGCCTGGAAGGTCAACTACAAGGAAGAGGAGGAAGAGGAGGAAGAGGAGGAAGAGGAGGAAGAGGAGGAAGAGGAGGAGCAGCCGCCACAAACGCCCACCTGGGGTGAGGAGGGCAGAGCTGCTGATCCAAATACAACCCCTGCCTCCCCGCCCAAGCGCCCCCTGGACTTCAGGGCCACGTCGAGGAAGCTCTTCGGCTCCCACAGGTTTCAGGCCGTTGTCATTTGCTGGGTCGTTCTGGACGCCGCCGTCCTGGTGCTGGCCGGGCTCCTCCCGCACCCGAAGATCGGCCAGCCCGACAAGAATAACTACGCTGCCAGGGTGCTCCACTACCCGAGCATAGCCATCTTGACCTTTATGATGGAGATGGCCTTTAAAATATTTGTTTTCTGCTTGGAGTTCTTCCACCACAAGTTTGAAATCCCGGATACCACCATCGTCATGGTTTTGTTTGTTGTCGACATCATCCTCCTGCTCCGGGAGCACGGGTTTGGGGCTCTGGGCCTGCTCCTCCTGCTCCCGCTGCCGTGCGAGGCCAGGATCATCAACGGGACAATTATCTTGGTTAAGACACGTTCCCAACGGCAACAGCTAAGGTTAAAACCAATGAATACACAACTGGACCCCAAGATCCAACACCTGGAGTTCAGCTGCTCCAAGAAGGAATGGCAGATGGAAAGACTTAACAAGCTGCTGGCGACAGCACAGACTGCTTAGCGAGGTGAACGAGAGGTGCGCCTGCTCTGCTCCACAGAGGAGACACTGCCCCGCGGGCCTTTGTGAACTTGGGTGACGCCGCCCTCCTGGGGCCGTCCCCGCGACAGGTTTGGTTTGATGCCACTGCCTGCCTCCCACCCAGCTTGGGTTCTGGAGGGACACAGACTTTTGGAAGGCTCTCCCCCTTCCTTGGCGTGGCGGAGAGCTTCTCTCCCCATCCCCACCTGTGCTGTGTCACAAATGTATCATAGGCTGTTTTTTTCCCATTGAACTTGACTCTTGCTTGGAAATGTCCCACAAAGCTGGACAATCACTAGTTGTATATAAAATTTAACCTCAGCAAATGTACAGCTTCCACAGTTTGCATGGATATGGAGGCACCCCTTCCCAGGAGCACTCTGAACGACGAATGAAGAAAGGAAGCCATTTCCACTACCAGCCCATTCTAGAAAAGCCTTTTCTATTTCTTAGTTGTTCTAAGCAGCTTGTCTTATGGCGGTTTTCCCCAGGGAGACGGTTCTCAGATAGGCAGTCCCTTCCTCTGCGTCATCCAGCTGCAGCATCCAGCTTCCAAGTGGCTCCTCCTGGGTCTGCCTCCTGACAACATTTTTCTCAATTACTGTATAATTGATGTGTAAAACAAACTCTCCCCCACCCCACCCCCCAGAGGAAAAAAAAAGAAAAAAAATGGTTGCCTTTTCCATAGACAAGAGTTTCTGGAGATGGAGGGTCATCGTTCTCTCCTTGTACAAAGAGAGACCCCCTTACATCTCTATTAGCCCATATAATTCCTAACAAAAGGGAAACTTCTCTGTTTTCAGAGATTCTCCTGTGCCTGCTGTTTCTCAGAAATAATCAGCTCAAAACAATTCTTACACCGAAGAGGTGCATGCTGGGGCAGCACAGCCTGCCCCCATTCAGCAGCTTCTGAGGGGGGAGCAGGGGGACATGAGCTTCTGCCAACTCGCTGTTGTGGGCCTGCTCTTATTTTAAATTAAAAGATAGGAAAGTTTTGCTTTCTTTCTAAGGACCATGGAGCCACCTAGTCACACAAATCTTTGTTAAGTAAAGCAGCTTTAATAATTCCAACTGCTTTTCTCCCCAGAGAATAGAAATGATAGTTTTTTTGTGGAGTGGACCCCATCTCAGCTGCCCACATAGACTCTCCTAAAAGAGGTTGACCACGTGCAGCTTTTTCCGTTTTTCCTATTTTAAAGTGTCTCTCTTGTTGAGGCAGAAAAGGTCAAGATCCCAGGTTTAATCTGTTAGTACCATCCAAATACAGTCATGTTAGACAAGATGTTTGCAGACAACGAATCGTGTGCGTTGAAAGTGACCGTTTCTGCCCCTCCAAGTGGCATATGGATCATTTTGAGTTAAACACTGTTGAGAATGAGCAGAAGCAAAAAACCAAACAAGCAAACAACAACAAAAAAACCCTCTCAAAACAGGGCAATTTCCATTTGTAGAGGGGTCTCCCTTTCCAGTATCAGGAAGAGGAGTCTTAACAGCCCCTATCAGCTGAAAAGGCACCAACTTAAATCTGCATGACAAATCGCACTAAACCGTATTTACCACATTCTCCCTGGTCTCTGTCCCTGAGCTGCCTCCCTTGCCCAGACTCCCAAAACCCATTTACCTCTGTTTAGCTTAAAATAAACTTCAGTTCTAACCACCCCTTAGGGTTACTCATTGTTGGGTGCTACCCTGCATACATTCGAGGTGTAGATAGGAACAAACTTCCATTTGTTTTTCTCCTGTTAACCTGTCTTTGGTCCATCTAATTTAGAGCCCCAAACTACAGAATTTAAGATGAGTGGAGGAAATTATTTTGCCTCCTCTACAGTTCCATAAAAATAATAGGAAGGTATAAATAACATGTGAGAAGCTCACGGGTGGAAGAAATGACATTTACTTCCAGGAAGCAGGGTCATTACTAAGACAATGGCCTTGGAAGTGTACCTTGCAATCAGGACCCACTAGAACATGTGGAAAGTTGGCAGAGACCTCCAGGTGAAGGGCATAATAGATGTAAAGGCACAGTGGGGACAGAGCATGGGACATGATTGGGGAAGAGAGTACTGGACAGTTAGTGCTAGAGACAGATCCTGGCATCCTTGACTGGAAGTAAGGAGACTTGCCTTCAGCTGGAAAAGAGAATTTTAAGAAGGGTTGTGGGTATAGAAATGATGTGTTCAGCAGCTGGGTTGTAGGCTATTAATATACTCCAGGGGAAAATTTAATGAGAGCTTGATTTTGAATAGAAGCAGAGGTAAAGAGGAAGAAATAGGGACGGGGTTAAAAGGGGTACAGTGACCGGTGGTGCTGGATGTGAGGAGAGAGCAGTCAAAGGACCCACCAGCTGCTGAGGGAAAGAGCAGCGTGACTCACCGCAGGGATTCAGAGTTCCGTTAGGCCCCAGGGAGCAATCATTCTTCACATCTTTCCCTAAAGATCCCTTGAATGTTCTTTCAGAGTTAAAATGTGACTTACACAAATCTACTTCACCTGCTCAAAGGTCTGCTCTGAGCTTGCCTTTTGTGCTATGTTCTTTCTCAGTAAGCAAGAATTTCCCATGAGGCATCCATCCTGAGGAACCCTGTTTGTCCTTCCTTTATCAATTAGGGAAATAATAGCTCTTAACACTCAGTAGCTGTTAAAGGGGAGGAGCACTTTGTAAGTGAGATGCATGGGCTCCTTGCATTTTCTCGGGGCCCCAGCACCATGAAGAAGGCTGTGCTGCTCTCATAGGGAGAAGCAGGACACTTTAGAGGTCATCAAGTTTATCTGAGACAAGAACCGCCAGCATGCTGCATCACAGGCCAGGATCTGCAGTCAGGTCTGGGAATCAGTACCTCTCCAGGCAATGACCAGCTGCACGATCCTGGCCAACTTACTGAGCCGTTCTGAGCAGTAGTTCCCTCATCCATGAAATGGAGTTACAGTGATCAGGCTCATTAAATGAAAAAAGAAATTCTAGTATCAGTAACAAATCCCGATGAATTTCTTGTTTACTAAATGCCAGACAGTCACTAAGAGTTTTACATGTGCTATTTTAGTTTTGGTCTCAAAATAGTCCTGGGGTAGGTACTAGCAGTATTTCCACTTTATGGATGGAAAATTGAAGACTTTTTAAATATTAATTTTCCTAAATTACAAGGCTAGTAAAGTGGCCAAACTGGAATTTAAATCTATGTTGGCTGATATTGAATTGATGCTTTGAACCATTATTCTATATTACCTTTGTAAAGCACTGAATACAGTGTTCAGAATGCAGGCTATTTCATCTCAAATCAGATTACAACTTTAATAATGGTATCTGTACTCTGCAAACTGTTTACTTTTAATAGACCTAAAGTTGAAGTGAAAATGTCAAGCAGGGCAGAATTAAGTGAAAGCCACAAATTTTAGAGTATTAATGTGGTATGAAAATGCAAAATGGATTTTAGAATGGATTGGAGAGTTGAAAGAGGAAAGTGATAAGAAACCCTGAAAAAGAGAGCGAATGAAGGGTCTGGGCCGGCTGGAAGGAGCACTGGGAGGGTAGCAGTGGATTAAGAAGCAGTGGCTGCAGCAGGCCCACCTGCAGGCACGAGGGTCCATGCTACAGGTAACAGATGATTGCAGCATCGCCAGGGGGCCCTGCAGCCAGCCATCTGACTGTGCGGACTGACTGAGGACACAGCATGGATTGCACGTAGAATGTGTTGGCCCACAGTACACTGGGAAGAGGCCAGGGTAGAAGCCCAGAGGAGAAAATGGTGATTGCTTAAAATGATGATTTTAGATTCTGTGGGATTCTTACTAAAGTGCTCCATACCACAGTGATCTATGAAGCAGGCAGTAGTTTGAGGGAAATAGTAGTCCACTACTAATAGTAGTCCGCTTTCTAGCACAGCCAGCGTGCTGGAGATAAGCCTTAGCTTGTGAAAGAAAGAGGTTTATTGTGTCCTCCGGGGGGAACCTGCAGTCATTGGTAAGGAGTTCTCCAGAGGGTTTGAAGTCGCTGTCTTTAGGCAGCACACACAGGGTTTTAAGTGGGGCTGGCCCTCAAGAGCAGGGTAGACTTTATGGCATTTCCCTGTTGTCTTAGCAGAATCAATGGCCCAAAGAGGGTACTGCCAGTAACCGGGTACTTAATGCTGTCACGGTGCAACATTAATGCTCTATTTTCCGATTCCTAGTCAGTTCAAATATTTGCATGAAACTTCATTCTGAACTAAGCTTGGCTTCACAGCTGAATTGTATCACCTGCATTGCTTGCTGAACCTCCTGAAGCGTCTGGAGCTCATGGCTTCGCCAAGGAGCATGATACTTATGAGCCATTGTGCTTTTCATACCTTCCACTGGCTGCCTCAGAGTCAACTTTCTTATAGAAGAATAGCTCCAGTGGAGATTGAACTTTATGGAACACAGTTAATCACTCCTAACAGAATAGTTGAGTTCACACTTAAAGTGTTTGTAATAATCATATAGATAGTATGCTATTTGGACATGTTTTTTTTAAATGATGACAAATTAATTAGAAGACTGTAGATTTGTCGGTCACAAACAAGTTTGATTTGCACGGCAAAACAAGTTGCTTGAGTTACACTGAAAATACCAACAGTCCAGCTGCTTAACAAGCTGTTTTTGTGCTGCAGAAACCAGGTGTGCAGGCTGCGGACACGGACAACGTGCACTGAGTTGTGCTGGCACAGGTGGGCACGAAATACAGCTCCTCTCCTCGGGAAGTTCACATCACATGTGTTTTAGTCAGCGTCGTCTGTACTCAGAATGTTGACAAGAGCATAAAATCCCTCACCGCCAAGCTCTTCCACATTCTGAATTTCAATGAAAAAAATGTAGCTGCTTTTTAAATGATGTGCGTGGACAATCCAACATGGTTAACTTTATACCAGCGGCATCTTATAATTTTGTGTCTCTTTTCCCACCTCCCCACATTCTAATAACAGACATGCCAATACTGTCTTCCAGGGCTGTTTCAAATAATCAGTGTG